TGAGCAGAGACAGGTGAGATAAGGGAAGCAATTCCATTGGAGGGTAAGGAAATCAGGATGAAGCAGTTGATGTAGAAACACAAAGGTGGGAATGGCACCTAAGTGTTTCTTCTCAAGGGACGCCGAGGGGTACCTGTTGGCAACTTTACCTGGAGAGGAGTGAAGGGACCACAGGCCCCCAATTCAATTAGTGACTCCACAGGGCCCAATAGAAGGAGGGAACATTTTCCCGATGCATTGTGACCTTTTATTACTTCACAGAATGCGTTTCTTACTCTTGTGCACAGTGGAGGAGTTTTATAGAGAAAGTGGTTGACTCCATCAAGTCCCCAAACAAATATTGACAAGAAACTATAACTCATTTTCCCAGCCGTGACCGGAATTCCTGCCCAATACATTGTAGGGAGGGCAGGATGGAGGCAGGTCCTCAGAACTGTGGCTGATTTCTTCTTGAGTCTGAGGAGACTAAATGCCAAGGCAGGTCAGGCAGCCGCAGGGCGGACCGAGAAAGACTTACATCCCCCAGATTACAACTGACTTCCCTGCCTTCCTTCTTCGCCCAAGTTTGGTCCGTGACGTGCAGGTGGGTGTTTTTGTTTGTTACAGTCGTGAACAACGTCATGGTTTCTGCATTCAGATCCTTTATGTTGAGCCTGAGAAAATACCGAAAGATAATTCTGTTAATCCTCCGTGTTCTAGTTTGGCTTTGTGGCCTCATGGATCCTTTTCCCCATACGTTATTCTCTGGGCATTCTTGGGAGTCTTTGATGTGGACTCTGAGGGAAAAGGAGTCTGTTTTCTAGACTCAAAACTCTCATTCTGACAGGAGACAGAGTGGTCTCCATTAACCATTGGATCACAAGGCAAGAATTCCATTGGAAGAAGAGTTTAAATTAATACTAGCCACTGACACTGTGGAACTCAATAATCAATACTTCGCACACATGTAGCATTACATGGCCACCACTAATGATATGATCAATAATTTATTGACTACGACATGGAGGTTCATAGTTTTTTTAATTAAAATATGATTACATGCATAGGGGAAACAGTCCATAAGATTGTTAATAACTATGGGTGCTGCCAGGTGGGGACCAGACTTTTTGGGGGGATCACTTGGTGAATTATACAAATGTCTAACCACTATGATTACGCCGGAAACCCATATAATCTTGAACTGTAATTGAAAAATAAAAATAAAAACTATGTACGTTTACATGATTAGAGAATGGAGGAGCACTTACTCCAGCGCCATGATCATAGCATTTGATTCAATGTCTTTGAAGCAAGTAGGGGGGTTGGGAGGCACATTCATTTCCTTGTGCCCCCTCTGTATGTAAACGCCCCAATTAGCAGGTAAGTACTGACAACCTATAACACTTGAAACAAAGTTCATTTCTTTCATTCATTGTTTAAAAGTTAAATTTATTGGAGTGGCATCCTATATAATAAAAGCCCTGCAACCAAATGGTGGAACAACTGGTCGACCAGTCACTATGATGCACACTGGCCACCAGGGGGCAGGCGATGAACGCAGGAACTTTCCCCCTGGTGGTCAGTGTGCTACCACAATGGGAGCACAGCTCTGCTGGCATGTCCACAGCTGATCAGCTGACCAGGATGAGCGGTGCTCCCATTGCAGGCTGATCCCCCATGCCACACCCCCACCGGTGCATGAATCCCGTGCATTGGGCTTCTCGTTGGTTAATAAGATCATATGGGTTTCAAGTGTACATTTCTATGATCCATGAGCTGTATGTTGCATTGTGTACCCACCACCCAAAGTTAGATCATCTTCCAAAACCATATATTTCACAACTTTTACCCTTTACAATCCCCACCCCCTTCCCTCTGGTAACCAAAACCCTGTTACTCAACATCCCTGATCATGAAGACAATGCAAATAAAGTAAAAACCACAACAAGTCATCACCTCACACCTGTCAGAAGGGCTATCCTCAATAAATACCCAAACAACAAGCGCTGGTAAGGATGTGGAGAAAAGGCAACCCTTGTGCACTGTTGGTGGGAGTGCAAGTTGGTGTAGCCACTATGGAACACAGTTTGGAAGTCCCTTGAAACATTAAAAATAGAACTACCATATGACCCAGCAAGTCCACTTCTGGGTATATACTTGAAAAAAATTAAATTATATCTTGAAGAGCTATCTACACCCTCATGTTCAGTGCAGCATTATTTACAATTGCCAAGACATGGGAATGGCCTAAGTCAGCCGTGGGCAAACTACAGCCCGCGGGCCGGATCCAGCCCGTTTGAAATGAA